TTGCCACATTTGGCTAAATGCAACAAATTATAACAATAGACATTCTCTGCAAAGAGCCAATCGGAGCGGAAAATTATTATTACAGTAAAATGCAACATAGCCGAGAAAAAATTCCACCCGAATATCCCAAATGTCGGAATTTTAACTCCAATACCCCCCCACCCCCCAGTGATAAATGTTGTGGGGCTCATTTGTCTCCAGTGTTTGAATAATAAATAGATCAGAATGAAACAGCAAATAAAGCCGGTGGCCAACTACGATCGTATGCACTAAAGTCTCCATGTGATATCTGAGAGCATGAGCTTGGATCTTCTCTGCACGGCCCTTCAACCTTCAAGTGCCCTCCTCCGGCACGGCCCTCTACCCCATGAAAACTGCTCCCTCCAGCATGGGCCCCCACCCTTCTAGAGAGTCCTCCTCCGGCACGGCCCTTTACCCTTCTAGAGTCCTCCTCCGGCACGGCCCTTTACCCTTCCAGAGTCCTCCTCCGGCACGGCCCTTTACCCTTCCAGAGTCCTCCTCCGGCACGGCCCTTTACCCTTCCAGAGTCCTCCTCCGGCACGGCCATTTACCCTTCCAGAGTCCTCCTCCGGCACGGCCATTTACCCTTCCAGAGTCCTCCTCCGGCACGGCCATTTACCCTTCCAGAGTCCTCCTCCGGCACGGCCATTTACCCTTCCAGAGTCCTCCTCCGGCACGGCCATTTACCCTTCCAGAGTCCTCCTCCGGCACGGCCATTTACCCTTCCAGAGTCCTCCTCCGGCACGGCCATTTACCCTTCCAGAGTCCTCCTCCGGCACGGCCATTTACCCTTCCAGAGTCCTCCTCCGGCACGGCCATTTACCCTTCCAGAGTCCTCCTCCGGCACGGCCATTTACCCTTCCAGAGTCCTCCTCCGGCACGGCCATTTACCCTTCCAGAGTCCTCCTCCGGCACGGCCATTTACCCTTCCAGAGTCCTCCTCCGGCACGGCCATTTACCCTTCCAGAGTCCTCCTCCGGCACGGCCATTTACCCTTCCAGAGTCCTCCTCCGGCACGGCCATTTACCCTTCCAGAGTCCTCCTCCGGCACGGCCATTTACCCTTCCAGAGTCCTCCTCCGGCACGGCCATTTACCCTTCCAGAGTCCTCCTCCGGCACGGCCATTTACCCTTCAAGAGTCCTCCTCCTCATGCACAGCCGCCCACCCTTCTAAAGAGTCCTCCTCAGGCACGGACCTCCACCCTTCTAAAGAGTCCTCCTCAGGCACGGCCCTCCACCCTTCTAAGGCACCCTGATCTCTTCTAAAACTGCTCCCTCCCGCACTGGCCTCCACCCTTCTGAAGCTCCATCCTCCAGCACAGCCTTCACACCCTTTTATTTTGCATAAATATACTTGCAAGCCTAGCAGATCCAGCGTTGTCCTCTTCTCTGACACTGCGGGGCCATCTTCCTCTTGTATGTCACAGGGGGGTCAGCTGTCTATTCCAGCCGCCGGCCTCCCATTGACATGTCGCCATATTTCGCACATACGCAGAGATCTGGTGCCATGTTGGTTTACATGTTGCCATCCTGCGAGATATTGCACGATTTTATCAATGATGGAAAGCAATGTCTCCCGGAATATTGGAGATCGGTACCCCAGGAGGCTGAAATGTCATTCTCGCTGAGGCCAGAGGGCAGCTCAAATGGATCAAAAAGACCATTAAGTAAAAACACTTTTTTTATATTGTGGAGGATTGGAATGGTGCAAAGCATTTTTAGATGGAAGGTCGGCTCTAAGATTCACAGGAGACTATTCTAGGATGGTGGATGAAGAGATCGGTCTGCAATGTTCCCCCCGCGTACCTACAGAAAAGACCGTCCTCTCCACTTACCGCATCGATCTCATTCAGGGCTTTCCACTGCTCGTACGGGACGTGCAACGCTTCCGCTGTCTGGATGGTACGCTTCATGTGACTGGTCCAAACCTTCAGGTCCGGGATCTGCTGAGACTTTATGAAGTTTCCCAGTGCATGAGCATACTGCAAGAGAGCGACAGGAAGACCATCAGTGATAGACCAATGAGAAAGCATCCACGAGTGGTGTCTGAATAAAAACAGGAGATCACACTAGCAAGGTTTCAAGATAACCGGGTTTTGGCATAGCCCAGGGGGTGGCCAACTGCGACCCTCCAGCCAGGTTTTGGCGTAGCCCAGGGGGTGGCCAACTGCGGCCCTCCAGCCAGGTTTTGGCGTAGCTTTTACCCTTCCAGAGTCCTCCTCCGGCACGGCCATTTACCCTTCCAGAGTCCTCCTCCGGCACGGCCATTTACCCTTCCAGAGTCCTCCTCCGGCACGGCCATTTACCCTTCCAGAGTCCTCCTCCGGCACGGCCATTTACCCTTCCAGAGTCCTCCTCCGGCACGGCCATTTACCCTTCCAGAGTCCTCCTCCGGCACGGCCATTTACCCTTCCAGAGTCCTCCTCCGGCACGGCCATTTACCCTTCCAGAGTCCTCCTCCGGCACGGCCATTTACCCTTCCAGAGTCCTCCTCCGGCACGGCCATTTACCCTTCCAGAGTCCTCCTCCGGCACGGCCATTTACCCTTCCAGAGTCCTCCTCCGGCACGGCCATTTACCCTTCCAGAGTCCTCCTCCGGCACGGCCATTTACCCTTCCAGAGTCCTCCTCCGGCACGGCCATTTACCCTTCCAGAGTCCTCCTCCGGCACGGCCATTTACCCTTCCAGAGTCCTCCTCCGGCACGGCCATTTACCCTTCCAGAGTCCTCCTCCGGCACGGCCATTTACCCTTCCAGAGTCCTCCTCCGGCACGGCCATTTACCCTTCCAGAGTCCTCCTCCGGCACGGCCATTTACCCTTCCAGAGTCCTCCTCCGGCACGGCCATTTACCCTTCCAGAGTCCTCCTCCGGCACGGCCATTTACCCTTCCAGAGTCCTCCTCCGGCACGGCCATTTACCCTTCCAGAGTCCTCCTCCGGCACGGCCATTTACCCTTCCAGAGTCCTCCTCCGGCACGGCCATTTACCCTTCCAGAGTCCTCCTCCGGCACGGCCATTTACCCTTCCAGAGTCCTCCTCCGGCACGGCCATTTACCCTTCCAGAGTCCTCCTCCGGCACGGCCATTTACCCTTCCAGAGTCCTCCTCCGGCACGGCCATTTACCCTTCCAGAGTCCTCCTCCGGCACGGCCATTTACCCTTCCAGAGTCCTCCTCCGGCACGGCCATTTACCCTTCCAGAGTCCTCCTCCGGCACGGCCATTTACCCTTCCAGAGTCCTCCTCCGGCACGGCCATTTACCCTTCCAGAGTCCTCCTCCGGCACGGCCATTTACCCTTCCAGAGTCCTCCTCCGGCACGGCCATTTACCCTTCCAGAGTCCTCCTCCGGCACGGCCATTTACCCTTCCAGAGTCCTCCTCCGGCACGGCCATTTACCCTTCCAGAGTCCTCCTCCGGCACGGCCATTTACCCTTCCAGAGTCCTCCTCCGGCACGGCCATTTACCCTTCCAGAGTCCTCCTCCGGCACGGCCATTTACCCTTCCAGAGTCCTCCTCCGGCACGGCCATTTACCCTTCCAGAGTCCTCCTCCGGCACGGCCATTTACCCTTCCAGAGTCCTCCTCCGGCACGGCCATTTACCCTTCCAGAGTCCTCCTCCGGCACGGCCATTTACCCTTCCAGAGTCCTCCTCCGGCACGGCCATTTACCCTTCCAGAGTCCTCCTCCGGCACGGCCATTTACCCTTCCAGAGTCCTCCTCCGGCACGGCCATTTACCCTTCCAGAGTCCTCCTCCGGCACGGCCATTTACCCTTCCAGAGTCCTCCTCCGGCACGGCCATTTACCCTTCCAGAGTCCTCCTCCGGCACGGCCATTTACCCTTCCAGAGTCCTCCTCCGGCACGGCCATTTACCCTTCCAGAGTCCTCCTCCGGCACGGCCATTTACCCTTCCAGAGTCCTCCTCCGGCACGGCCATTTACCCTTCCAGAGTCCTCCTCCGGCACGGCCATTTACCCTTCCAGAGTCCTCCTCCGGCACGGCCATTTACCCTTCCAGAGTCCTCCTCCGGCACGGCCATTTACCCTTCCAGAGTCCTCCTCCGGCACGGCCATTTACCCTTCCAGAGTCCTCCTCCGGCACGGCCATTTACCCTTCCAGAGTCCTCCTCCGGCACGGCCATTTACCCTTCCAGAGTCCTCCTCCGGCACGGCCATTTACCCTTCCAGAGTCCTCCTCCGGCACGGCCATTTACCCTTCCAGAGTCCTCCTCCGGCACGGCCATTTACCCTTCCAGAGTCCTCCTCCGGCACGGCCATTTACCCTTCCAGAGTCCTCCTCCGGCACGGCCATTTACCCTTCCAGAGTCCTCCTCCGGCACGGCCATTTACCCTTCCAGAGTCCTCCTCCGGCACGGCCATTTACCCTTCCAGAGTCCTCCTCCGGCACGGCCATTTACCCTTCCAGAGTCCTCCTCCGGCACGGCCATTTACCCTTCCAGAGTCCTCCTCCGGCACGGCCATTTACCCTTCCAGAGTCCTCCTCCGGCACGGCCATTTACCCTTCCAGAGTCCTCCTCCGGCACGGCCATTTACCCTTCCAGAGTCCTCCTCCGGCACGGCCATTTACCCTTCCAGAGTCCTCCTCCGGCACGGCCATTTACCCTTCCAGAGTCCTCCTCCGGCACGGCCATTTACCCTTCCAGAGTCCTCCTCCGGCACGGCCATTTACCCTTCCAGAGTCCTCCTCCGGCACGGCCATTTACCCTTCCAGAGTCCTCCTCCGGCACGGCCATTTACCCTTCCAGAGTCCTCCTCCGGCACGGCCATTTACCCTTCCAGAGTCCTCCTCCGGCACGGCCATTTACCCTTCCAGAGTCCTCCTCCGGCACGGCCATTTACCCTTCCAGAGTCCTCCTCCGGCACGGCCATTTACCCTTCCAGAGTCCTCCTCCGGCACGGCCATTTACCCTTCCAGAGTCCTCCTCCGGCACGGCCATTTACCCTTCCAGAGTCCTCCTCCGGCACGGCCATTTACCCTTCCAGAGTCCTCCTCCGGCACGGCCATTTACCCTTCCAGAGTCCTCCTCCGGCACGGCCATTTACCCTTCCAGAGTCCTCCTCCGGCACGGCCATTTACCCTTCCAGAGTCCTCCTCCGGCACGGCCATTTACCCTTCCAGAGTCCTCCTCCGGCACGGCCATTTACCCTTCCAGAGTCCTCCTCCGGCACGGCCATTTACCCTTCCAGAGTCCTCCTCCGGCACGGCCATTTACCCTTCCAGAGTCCTCCTCCGGCACGGCCATTTACCCTTCCAGAGTCCTCCTCCGGCACGGCCATTTACCCTTCCAGAGTCCTCCTCCGGCACGGCCATTTACCCTTCAAGAGTCCTCCTCCTCATGCACAGCCGCCCACCCTTCTAAAGAGTCCTCCTCAGGCACGGACCTCCACCCTTCTAAAGAGTCCTCCTCAGGCACGGCCCTCCACCCTTCTAAGGCACCCTGATCTCTTCTAAAACTGCTCCCTCCCGCACTGGCCTCCACCCTTCTGAAGCTCCATCCTCCAGCACAGCCTTCACACCCTTTTATTTTGCATAAATATACTTGCAAGCCTAGCAGATCCAGCGTTGTCCTCTTCTCTGACACTGCGGGGCCATCTTCCTCTTGTATGTCACAGGGGGGTCAGCTGTCTATTCCAGCCGCCGGCCTCCCATTGACATGTCGCCATATTTCGCACATACGCAGAGATCTGGTGCCATGTTGGTTTACATGTTGCCATCCTGCGAGATATTGCACGATTTTATCAATGATGGAAAGCAATGTCTCCCGGAATATTGGAGATCGGTACCCCAGGAGGCTGAAATGTCATTCTCGCTGAGGCCAGAGGGCAGCTCAAATGGATCAAAAAGACCATTAAGTAAAAACACTTTTTTTATATTGTGGAGGATTGGAATGGTGCAAAGCATTTTTAGATGGAAGGTCGGCTCTAAGATTCACAGGAGACTATTCTAGGATGGTGGATGAAGAGATCGGTCTGCAATGTTCCCCCCGCGTACCTACAGAAAAGACCGTCCTCTCCACTTACCGCATCGATCTCATTCAGGGCTTTCCACTGCTCGTACGGGACGTGCAACGCTTCCGCTGTCTGGATGGTACGCTTCATGTGACTGGTCCAAACCTTCAGGTCCGGGATCTGCTGAGACTTTATGAAGTTTCCCAGTGCATGAGCATACTGCAAGAGAGCGACAGGAAGACCATCAGTGATAGACCAATGAGAAAGCATCCACGAGTGGTGTCTGAATAAAAACAGGAGATCACACTAGCAAGGTTTCAAGATAACCGGGTTTTGGCATAGCCCAGGGGGTGGCCAACTGCGACCCTCCAGCCAGGTTTTGGCGTAGCCCAGGGGGTGGCCAACTGCGGCCCTCCAGCCAGGTTTTGGCGTAGCCCAGGGGGTGGCCAACTGCGGCCCTCCAGCCGGGTTTTGGCGTAGCCCAGGGGCGGCCAACTGCGGCCCTCCAGCCAGGTTTTGGCGTAGCCCAGGGGGTGGCCAACTGCGGCCCTCCAGCCAGGTTTTGGTGTAGCCCAGGGGGGCGCGACACGCGTACCCTCCAGCCAGGTTTTGGCGTAGCCCAGGGGGTGGCCAACTGCGGCCCTCCAGCCAGGTTTTGGCGTAGCCCAGGGGGTGGCCAACTGCGGCCCTCCAGCCAGGTTTTGGTGTAGCCCAGGGGGTGGCCAACTCCTACCCTCCAGCCATGCTTCAACTTCAAATCACAATCCCAACTGCCTCTGCGACTCATGCCTGTAACTGGTAGTCTTGCTATGCCTCATGGGACATGTAGTTCTACAACAGCAGGAGGGCCGGAGTTGACCACCCCTGGTGTAGGCCAATTCACTGTACCGATGCCTGGATGAAAACCAACTCCTCAGCAGGTAGACGGCGCTCCCATTCTGCTGCTCAAACATTTATACTTTGATTTTGACTCGTGTATTATGGAGAAGGCCGGAAATGTCAATTATTTTTGTAGTAGTTGATCAGCCCGGAGCGGTCACTTGTACCAGAAGTAAACGTCTAATTGCACAAACGTTTTTGTTTTCAGCCAGAGAACAACTACAAATGCACCATCATACTGGGGGGGGGGGGGGGGGGGGTGGGCGTGTTGTCCA